CCACAGTTTAATAGAGCAATGGCCCACTCAGCTAATTGTTTGATTTATTGTAGAGACAAGATCTTGCCAAGTTGCCCAGGCTGGTCTCGACCTCCCCCCCCCCCCCCGCAAAGTGCTGGGATGACAGGTGTGAGCCACCGTACCTGGCCATCATGAGTGCGTTGAGGGAAGTACTATGATCCCACTCAAGACAGGAAGAACCCTGGGCCCATAGCCTTACCTTGCACACCGTGATGGTTGTGCTGGTGGTGAGAGTCTGCAGGTGGGAGTTGTGTATTTCCTCATCCATTCATTCGTTCTTTTTTTACATTGTGGCAGATTATACAGCACATAAATTTACCATCTTAATCATTTGTAAGTATGCATCTCTGTAGTGCTAAGTACACTCGCATTGTTGTGAAGCCAATGTGCAGAGCTCATCTCGCCAAGTGGAAACTCTACCCATTAAACAACTCTGCCTCCCTCCCGCATTCACGGCCCTGGCAACTACAATCCTACCTTCTGTCTCTGTGATTACCCTATGTACCTCTAAGGAATGGAATCATACAGTAGCTGTCATTTTGTGACCGACTTGCTTCACTTGGTATAACGTCCTCAAGTTTTATCTGTTAAAGCACGCATCACTAATTCCCTTCCTTTTGAAGGCTGAATAACATTCCACTGTGTGTCTATACCACGTGTCGTTTGTCCATTCATCCATCAATGAGCATTTGGGTGTTTCCACTTTTTGACTGTTGTGAATAATGTTACTATGTTTTTTCATTAAAAAAAATTTTTTTTTCGAAATATAGAAATGGGGTCTCACTATGTTGCCCAGGCTGGTCTCGAACTACTGGGCTCAAACAGTCTTCCTGCCTCTGTCTCCCAAAATGCTGGGATTACAGGTATGAGCCATTACACCCAGCTATGCATGATACTGCTATGAACACAAGTACACAAATTTCTATTTGCATTCCTGCTTTCAATTCTTTTGGGTATGCCCCCAGTAGTGGGATTATTGGATCGTAGAATTCTATTTTAAATTTTTTGAGAACCCGCCACACTTTTCCATGGCCTCCTGTACCATTTTACATTCTTACTAGTAGTGCACGTGGATTCCGGTTTCTCCACATTCTTTCCAATACTTGTTATTTTTATTTTATTATTATTATTATTATTATTATTTTGGCCATCCTAGTGGGGATGAGACAATACTCACTGTGGTTTTGATTGCATTTTTCTAATGATGTTGAACATCTTTTCATGTGCTTCTTGGTCCTTTTTTTTTTTTTTTTGGAGTCAGAGTCTCATTCTGCAACCCAGGCTGGAGTGCAGTGGTGCAATCACGGCTCACCACAACCTCGGCCTCCTGGGCTCAGGATGTCCTCCCGCCTCAGTCTCTCAAGTAGCTGGAACTACAGGCACATGCCACTACGCCTGCCTAAGTTTTTGTAGAGATGCGTTCTCTCTATGTTGCCCAGGCTGGTCTGGAACTCCTGGCCTCAGGCAATCCTTCTGCCTCGGCCTTCTTAAGTGCTGGGATTACAGGTGTGAGCCACAGTGCCCAGCCCCATTTAATCATTCTTTCATTAAAAACACTTACTAAAGACTTAGGGTAGCCAGGCTGGGTGGCTCAGCCTGTAATCCCGCGCCTTTGGGAGGCTGAGGTGAGTGGATTGCCTGAGTCCGTGGGTTCGAGACCCGCCTGGGCAGGCGAGACTTCATCTCTACAATAAATCAAAAAATTAGCCGGGCGTGGTAGCATGCGCCTGTAGTTCCAGCTACTTGGAAGGCTGAGGCGAAAGGATCACTGGAACCCAGCAGGCCGAGGCTGCGGTGGCCAGGAGTGGCCACTGCACTCCAGTCTGGGTGACAGAGTGAGACTCCCACTCAAAAAAAAAAAAAAAAAAGACTTAGGGTGTACTAGGCATCGTTCCACATGCTGGGAATACAGTGATGAACATCCCAGATGCTCTCACATTTGTGATGCTTTGTGTTCTGCTTTCACCACCCATCAGTTGTGAACTGAAGAACCCTTTCTGTGCCTCGGTTTTTAAATCTGGGCAATGGGCACCCCAGGTCCGTGGCTATCAACAGAGCACTTAATTTTGCTCTAGGCACAGTGCTGTCTTTACCCGGACTCAGTCCTCACATCACCCCTCGTGAGGTAGGTTCACATTGTCCCCTTTTTATAGGCAAGGGAGCCATAGCAAGGGGCCCATGAACACCAGCAAGAACACAATGTAAGGGAGTAGTGGAGACTCTCCAGTCCCCAGCATTTGCCCACTGCATGACACCAACCACAATATTTGTTTCATGGGGCTCTGGGGAGCATAGAAAGAGTTAATCCACTTGGGAAGCATTTAACACGTGTTAGCACTTAGTGGTGTTACTCACATTCATTCTTTCCAATTCCTTCCTTTCTTTTCCCGTTCTTTTTCCTGTCTGGGTCTGCCTCTAATCTCCCCTTCTGCGATCCTTCCATTCATTCATTCTTCAACATCCATTTCTGGAGGCCTCCTGTGTGCTAAGACCTCGTGCCAAGCAATGCTGGACACACAGAGGACTCAGACCCCTGTGCCCTACCCCTTCCAGGAACTTCCAGCTTGCTGAGGATGAAGAAGGTCATAGGCCAACTCAATGCATATCCTAAAGGGTATCACAAAGCAGGAAACTGACCCAACTATGGTGAAAGGAATGAGTGTATGTGAGTGTGTATAAAATAGTAACTGTTCCCAAAGATGAGAAGATAAGGATCTGAGAAGGGGGTTTTGGGATGGAGGAAGGTGGTGACATTGCATGACCCCAAGAGGCATCTCTCATCCCCTCACATGGTGCTGCGTGCTTCAGAGACAGAGACAGAGGGAGAGAGACAGAGATGAGGGAGAGAGAGGGAGGGAGAGGAGAGAAGAGGGAAAAGAGGAGAGGGAGAAAGAGAGGAGAGAGCATGCAAGAGACTCAGATAAATGTGTGTCTAGGAAAAGCTTCCTCAGGAAGGCGTCCCCTGAGCTGCCCACTGCAGGGTAAGTATTACATCAGCAAAGAGTGTGAGCCGAATGTTCCACGGCCTGGAGGTTGGAGGGAGCTGAATAGTTGCGAAAACTATATAGTTTATATTATATTTATTACCCCCCCCCGTCTTATTTTTGAGTTGGAATCTCATTCTGTTGCCCAGGCTGGAATGCGGTGGCACAATCAGGGCTCACCGCAGCCTCGACCTTCTGGACTCAGGCAATCCTCCTGAGTAGCTGGGACTACAGATGTGCACCACCATGCCTGGTTAATTTTTTGTAGAGACAAAATCTCACTATGTTGTCCTGGTTGGTCTCCACTTCCTAGGCTCAAGCAATCCTCCAACCTCTGCCTCCCAAAGTGTTGGGATTTCAGGCGTGAGCCAAGTGCCCAGCCTATGTATTTTCTCTAGCTACATTCTCGAGGTAGTAAAACAGAAACTGTCCCCAAAGATGAGAAGATAAGTGAAGATGAGGATCTTAGGAGGATTTTGGGACGGAGGAAGGGGTGAGACTGCATGACTCCTAGAGGCCTCTCCCACTAATCTCCTCGCGTGGTTCTACGTTCTTCCACCACTCCCTCTCTCTCCAGAGGGTTCCAGGCTCCTTGTGGAAAGAAACTGAGTTACCACTCTCTACGCGGTACTCAAGAGACTACATCTCCCATGACGCACTGGGGTCGCGCTCCTCACAATTGGACTCAAGACTTCGCAGGGTCTCATGGGAAATGTAGTCCTCACCCTCCGTAGCCTCCCCCTCGCACGCGTTTTCCTACTTCTCAACAAGTTTAGAGTTTGAAAGGCGCCTTGACATTGTCGAAGCCAACATCCTCTTTCTTACAGAGGGGAATGCCGAAGTTCAGAGTGGTTGAGTAACGAAGCCCCGCTCAAGGGGCAAAAGTCCTCGTGATGAGTGCCTTTGGGTTTCTCTCTCTCTCTCTTAAACAGGTGGGGAAACAGACCAGAGAGGTTAAATGTTTGTCCCAGATCACGAGACGGGCTCAGGAGCCAGGACTTCCCGTCTCCCAAGCAGCCCAGAGAAGGGGCTTGGGGGTGGGGAGGGGTCCTCTCTCACTGGGGTTGCTCTACCCCCAACCTCTGAAGTCTCCACCCCTACCACCCCTCCTCCCTCCTCCAGGGTTGAAAAGAGGCGTTTGCGTGAAGATCAATCATTTCCCGGAGGACACGGACTACGATCATGACAGCGCGGAGTATCTACTCCGTACGTGGGGGTCCCCGACAGACAGTGGGGAAGAGGGGGATGTCCGGGCCCGAGGAGGAACTGGGACCCCGGCACTTGGATTGACACGCAGAGGTTCGCTTCCTAGCCAATCAGAGTCCAGATGCTGAGATCCTTTGGTTCCCGATTGGCTCAGTGGTCTCCCTCCCGTCCCCTCCTCTCACCTGGGGGAGGGCTGAGGGTGGATCCTGGAGGTTGATTGGCCGCCTTGCTCTTTTGGCACTCGCGGCAAATCTGCGCTGTGACAGGCTGTAGATGCCCGGGCAGGGATTGGTCACTGCGTCCCGGGCTGTGGGACAATCTGCGGCGGGGACTGGCCACTCTCAGGAACTGGCTGGGAAGCCTGTGTTGCGATTGGTAGCTACCCGGGGAACGCGGCAAATCCTAAATGATGATTGGCTGTGGCCCCAGCCAGGCTCAGAAATCGCAAAATCTGGTTGCCTGGGGTTTTAGTGGTGGGAGGAAAGGACTGCAGGGAAAGAGACCGAGACGGAGGGAGAGAGAGAGAGAGAGAGAGGGAGAGAGAGAGAGAGAAGAGGGAAGGAGGGAACGGAGAGAAGGGGGGAAAGAGAGGGAGAGAGGAGACAGCGCGCAGGAGACTCAGATAAATGAAGCCAGGCTTGATGGGGGGGAAGAGGAAGAAGAGAAACCAAGATAGACGAAGACAGGCAAAAGGGGGGTGGGGAGAAGAAGAGTAGAGAAACTCAAAAATAGATGAAGTCAGCCAGGCAGAAAAAGAAGAAGGAGGGCGGGAGAGAGAGAGAGAAACCTAGAAAGAGATGGAGTGAGGCAGAAAGTGGGAGGGGGTGTGGGGAGCATTACTGAGAGATCTGGGGAAAGAAATTCGCAAAAGAGAGGAAGGGGAAGGAAGGGCGAGGAGAAAAAGAGAAAAGAAGAGGATCAACAGAGAAGCTGAGAAAAAATAGGGGGTGTGGCTTAGATAAATAAAGAGGGAAAGATATGCCAGGAGAAAGACTAGTCCGAGGAAGAAAGAAAAAGAAAGAGGGAGACGATATATAGGGACATTTTAAAGACATAACAGAATGGGGCAAACAAAAAACAGAACAGAGCCAGAGAGGGAGAATTAGAGAACTAGCGAGAGAGAAGAGGACCCGAAAGCAGGCAGGAGGCGCAGCGAGCCGGAGTGGGGACCGGGACACGGGCTCAGGGGCCGCGTGTGACCGCTCCCTTCCCCCTCCCCCCACCCCCGCAGGAGTTGTCCGGGCCTCCAGCATCTTCCCCATCCTTAGCGCCATCCTGCTGCTGCTCGGGGGCGTGTGCGTGGCGGCCTCCCGCGTCTACAAGTCCAAGAGGAACATCATTCTGGGCGCAGGGATCCTCTTCGTGGCAGCAGGTGAGAGGCACGGGGAGGGGGCGGCGGGCCGGGCGGTCCACCTGCGTGGGGCGCACGCTTGTGTGTGTGTGTGTCTGTGTGTGTCTGCAAAGCGACCCTGCCCCGAGCGCCCCTGGGGCCCGGAGCCATCCCGGGCTCTTCCCAAGCTCCGAGTCCACCCGCTGGGACAGGTAGGTCTAGTCTCCGCTCTCTTGGGAAGAGTCAAGCGGCACCGACAGGTGTCTAGCAGCTAAGTCGCCGGGGCGCTGAGCTTCCAAAGCCCTCCGTCTTGGAGACGGAAGGGGAGGAGCTTGGGGGGAGGGGGCGGGACGGTGAGGCGGAATGGGGG